GAGGATGAAAATGAAGTCAACAGTTACTTAGCCACTTTCTACTGCGAATTAGAATTACTAAGTTTGGACTCTTTCACCATCACACTACATCATGAAAAAGACGAGAAAACTTTGAGATTAATGAGAACTTTGATTTCAACCCTCAATTTTTAGATCGTAGACTTCTCCAGAGCTATTAATGGCATCAAGAAAAAGAAGTGCAACCAATCCATATGGACCCATTAGCTAATAATGGCATTCATGATTCATGATTCATAATTTCAATTTACAAGCGACCATCGACCCATCTCATGCTATGCCATGCCTATGCCATGCCATATGCCATGTGTCTACCAACCTTACCCACACCACAAACATGTGTGTGATGCAACATGCAATTAGATTGATGGTTGACGAATCAAAAGCTTCTGCTTTCTGCCAAATGACAAAATGAGCATGCCATCTCTATTCTCCAGTGTGCATCAACCCAGAAGCTTGTGCTATGGTTATAATTAATTTCAGACCTTCCACTTCCTAAATTAACAACTTAGGCACAACTAAGAGCCAACAGCTAGTTTCTTCTTTTTTGGTACTACATCTAGCTAACCGCTGGTTAAGTGCTGAGTTAGTCTTCTTGCCCTCCCCCACCCGTCATCCCACCCCCCAAAAAAAAAAGGTGGATTGAGATTCCTAGAGAGCCTAACTTTGAAACTATGCAACCAAATACAATTATTAAGCAAGCCATTTCCTTTGTCTAGAAGGAAAGGAAAATAACATTATGCTATAGATTAATAATAGTACTACAGGCTACAGCTAGCTGCTACTACTACCCACTTCTTACTAATTCAACTCAATCACATATTTGTATTCATTGACCATATAATATTTACTCATATACATGTTTTTATTTACAATACAACACTATCTTTTTTGGGGATAATATTATTTTTCATTTTAAAGAAAAAAAAAACATTGAAGTATACTTATCAACAGAGGACACATAGATGATTCAGAGGCAGAAAAAGGAAATAGAAAGGAAAAGAAAATGAAATAAAAACAAAGACAGCAGAAGGAGGCTGAATTCAGTGACCAACTCCTGGGCTTGGAACATCACCTTGCCTTCTATAGAAATTGTTATTGTAATCATAATCATCATCGCCTCCTCCAAAGTCTTGGGCCATTACATAGAGCTTTCTTGTCCTTGTTACTTCCATATGGCACGCAGGGCTGCAACTCCTGCTAAATCTGGTAGTCACTTTGTACTGAAACATGAGAAACGGCAGAAACATTACAAGCAGCAGAATACTAGCGGCCTTCTGCTCTCTATTTGCCATTTTCAAAGGAGAACAAAAACTTTGTGCCTTTTGGAATTGTTGATAAACACAATCTTGAAGGAGGGATTCGGCTTTACCGACCCATGTTGATTTATAGGGCCATGCACTATCTTTGTGCCATCATTTTTAATAAGTTGAGAAGTATATTATGCAATATGAGATTGATCAAAGTAGGGCCACCGCAGAGTTGATAAAAGCATGATAACATAATTAAACTTTTCTTTTGCCTTTCGGAAATATATAGAAGCCGAATTCTAATTACTTTGTTCGACTACGAATTACAATACAGCCAAGCCAACAAACATCATTAATTCAGCACGCATGTATACATAAGCTTCATATCTATATATATATATATACACGCACTATTGATCTTGGAGATGTTTGTATATATTACACACTAAATGCATGAGGGATGTGATTCCCAAACCAAAAGCTAGCTTGTTACTACCACCACCACTATGTCTATGTAGCAACAAAGGATTGGGGTGGAATTTGGCGTCTCCTATGTCACTGGTGACCATATATCTTTAAATCACAGGACAGGACAAGCTGTTTCATAAGAGTGCGTGCCAACATACTCAATGGATTGGATCAAATCCAAAATACTATTAGTAATATACTAGTATTAGTCTTGAACTTAAGCTTCTGAGTTCAAGTGTTATGAGTCATGGGTCTTGGGTTCAAGGACTGGTAAGAGAAACAAAAAAAGTATTAGTGTGGAAAATTATAATTGATCTGATTAATCTATTAATATTAAAAAAATAAAGTTAGTAACACATTTAAATTGATTGATTGTATTTAATAATTTATCTTTAAATTTTAATACTTAAATTTAATTAATTTAAAATTAAATTTTTACTAATTATTTAAAAATTTTCCCTCTCCGTAATTTTTCATGTTAAAAAAATATAAAAAAATATTAACAACACGTTGAATACAACAAAATATGAAATAAAATATAAAAAAATGATCTCAATAATAAATACTTATGAATGCTGTAGTGTGGAGATAACTACTGCTACTGTACTTTTGGGAAAGCGGAAAGGGATAAGATTGCTGAAAAACATAATGATTATTGATCAATGAGAGTCAAGTGTGTGGGGAAGGGGAATGAGGTAGTAATATAGAACATACTAGTAAATAAAATAGTAGTATAAAAAATGACCACAATAATAAATACTTGACTTGTCCATTGGTGCTTAATAATTAATGCTGGGAACAATAAGATAAGAATAAACTGGAGATACCAGGATGGATGATCGATGTTGGGTAATACTGTACATGGCTGGTCGACTCTTCCCTTTGAAAAATTACCCTGAATCTGAATGTACGTACAGAAATTGCATGAAATGCCATTACCTGTGTTGGCTTGTTCAAGCCTCGAGGTGGTTTAAGGGAGGAAGAGTTCAGTATTGGACCCCCAAAGGAGCTCCATTTTGGTAACTAAATTCATAAGGAGCACCGTCTCTACTCCCATCCAATGATGCATGCAGAAATTGTAATGTGAGTATTGTTCATAAACAGAAGAAGGGTTAATTGAATCCACGAATACAAAAATATTGGCGAAAGGATCTTCCTTGACCTTACAAATTGCATATAAAAGGAATGATAGAAAAATAAGGTTGAAAGGAGGGAGACACGTCCAATCTCCTTGTTTTTTTTGGTAGAAGTCCAATCTCCTTGTTGGTATACATCGTTGTTACTTGTTTCCAAAATCTACTGTTGCTGATAGAGATCTTATTCCTCACAGTGTTGAAAGTAGTATTCTGTCAAGT